TTTATTATTTAGATAATAGATAATATATATTAATATTTAGATAATGTATAGAAATTACAATAACTTATTATATAACGACAACTAGCGACTCAAACAAATAAGAAGATTGTAAAATTGCAATTCTATCAGATAAAATTGTATTTCTATGGAAGGTAGCATTTTTTTCGAAATGTTAACAATTATTTCACAAGATTTTTCTATGAATACTATACTACACTATTAGTATAGCATTACTCATCTTAAAATCATTCCATTGAATGTGTTCTTAGAATTACATTCTAATCGATGTTTCTCAATATGAATGGAATAACTTAAATGTCAGAGGTGAAATCACTGTCTCGGCCTTAATAACACATTATTCTAGATTTTGTTTTACATTTCTAGCGTTTTTTTTTCGATATACCATACTTTTGACCTAAGAAGTTCTTGTCCTCATTTACGTTTATAATACTAACAATGCTTATATTTCGAAAATTACAATGACTTAACGTGTTTTTTCTCACACTGGTTTCTCTTTTTCTATCGCCACAACAGGATTGATACTATCTCACTCACTCTTAGGAAACACCTTCGTATTGCCGTCTCCCTCTCTCGTCCATCTAAACGGTTTTACTTAAGGTTGTCACAGTTGAAAGTTACTTTTTTACCTTTAAAATAAACGGACTTCTTGCACTTAGTCGATAAGTAGACGTTAAATGCATAAACAAATAAGTTTTCTTAAAATAGATACGTTAGAAGTAATTTGATAATAAGAAACAATAATGACGTCACAGAGAGATATTGAAGGTCTTGTATTGCCAAGAGAAAGTTTATGGCATCATTGATAGTGACGCATATTTTCCTCATTGATTCTTGGAATTTATTTACTAAGGTGGGTATTTTGGCATCCTTAGCCTGACACCCATTCGTAGAAGCGGCAACGGCACTGGCGCGAGCGCAGCGCAGCGATGGCGGCGGTCAATGACACGAGGTCGCGTGCGCCCGCGCCGCTGCCTGCTACCGGAGCTTCGAACCGAAGCCACTAGACCCCAACACGCGCCCGACTCCTCGACACCACCCACATTATCACCTTCATGTTACTATAACGTAAACGTTAACTTATAATTAACATAGTTTAGCCGGACAACCGTAAATAAACTTTAAAAATAGTGAGTTGTCGTTACTCGTTCGGTACATACTGAGTACATATGGGCGCAAAGATGTTAATGCGGTAAAAGCCTTAATGCTTACGCTTTCAAACATAATAAAACAGAGCATAATCATGTGTTATGTATGTCATATTATTATTAGATTGCGGGACATAACTATAAAGTATAAGATAAAAGCCCGATGGCAAAGACAGGCGTAGTCTGTTAGCTAAACGACAAACAAATGTATGTTAGTCACATTACACGCAAGATTGGATTTACGAAACAAAATATACAACGTCAGTGATCCCTACTCAAAGCAACAAGTTCGTAATAAAATATTAATAATGTAATATAATAATAATAGTTATTATGTGTATTGAAGATTTGTGTCCTCAGTGGTCTCGTGGCAGATATTAGTGCTGACTGTTACTGTTTTAATAACAAATGACACGGATTAACCAAACATGGCTCACGCTTGACGACGTTATACCGTACTCGTTTTCTTAAGTTTATTAATATGTTGGTAGAGATAACTTATAAACTAGAATTTT